TTTGCTTTAGGGTATGGGAAATATGTATTTTAGAGTATGTGTGGGGTAATTTTGCATTGAATAGCAAAAGCAACGGCAAGTTTATACGGCGCTCCCGAAGTATGTGCAACAAGATGACGCACAACCTGAACATAGTATGTATACCAGGTTAGGGTTCAGGTTGTGCGTCATCTTGTTGCACATACTTCCGGAGTGCCGTTTATACTTGAGTGTGCATGTACGGGGTAATTGTACTAACATACATATTATCCGAATCTGAATATTATTAGAATCTTTTAGTGAAATTTCCGTATCCACACAACCCAAGCGTATATTTCCCGTTGCTTCCATTTTCTAGTGCAATTTCTTCTAAACATACTCTGAAATGAGTATTTCCCGTACTTTAACGCGATTTGCCGTCGTTCCCGCATTTTAGATAAATTTTCACGTACATACACCCCCAAGCGTATATTAACCATTGCTTTCGTTTTCTAGAACAATTTCCCCTAAACATACCCCAAAATGAATATTTCCCGTACCTTAAAGCGATTTCCCGTCATTCCCGCTTTTTGTGAATTTTCCCGCTTTTTAGTGAAATTTCCCGTAGTTCCCGTCATTCCCGTAGTTCCCGCATTTTAGTTTTTGCAATTTCCCGTCGTTCCCGCAGTTCCCGCATTTTAGTGCATTTCCCGTAGTTCCCGTCGTTCCCGTTTCCCGCATTTTAGGGTTGCCCGACTTCAACCACATCAACACCCGTCGGGAGAAATTTCCTCCACTTCTTCCTTTTAGTGTTCAGCTTTTTAGTGACCTCGGCAACCTAACCACCCGTCGGAAGAAATATCATCCACTTCTTCCTTTCAGTGTTCAGCTTTTTAGTGACTTCAACCACATCAACACCCGTCGGGAGAAATTTCATCCACTTCTTCCTTTTAGTGTTCAGCTTTTTAGTGACCTCGGCCACCTCACCACCCGTCGGAAGAAATTTCATCCACTTCTTTCTTTTAGTGTTCAGCTTTTTAGTGACTTCAACCACATCAACACCCGTCGGGAGAAATTTCATCCACTTCTTCCTTTTAGTGTTCAGCTTTTTAGTGACTTCAACCACATCAACACCCGTCGGGAGAAATTTCATCCACTTCTTCCTTTTAGTGTTCAGCTTTTTAGTGACTTCAACCACATCAACACCCGTCGGAAGAAATTTCATCCACTTCTTCCTTTCAGTGTTCAGCTTTTTAGTGACTTCAACTATCTCATTATTCGTCGGAAGAAATTTCATCCACTTCTTCCTTTTAGTGTTCATCTTTTTAGTGACTTCAACCGCTTCAACCACCTCATTATTCGTCGGAAGAAATTTCATCCACTTCTTTCTTTTAGTGTTCAGCTTTTTAGTGACTTCAACCACCTCATTATTCATCGGAAGAAATTTCATCCACTTCTTCCTTTTAGTGTTCAGCTTTTTAGTGGTTTCAGCCACCTCGGAAGAAATTTCTTCCACTTCTTCGTTTTAGTGTTCAGCCTTTTAGTGTTTTTCAATTTTTCACCTTTGGGAACACATTAACTTCCGTTTTTCCGCCACTTCATCCGTTTCTTCCTTCAGCCTTTTAGTGTTGTCCAAGAGTCAGCGGACGACTCATCTTACCGGTACCGTATGCAGTTTTGGTCGAGAGAGCTGAAAGCTCGGCTCGTTTAGGTGTGTTTCTTACTTTCCATGACATAAGTGAAAGTATTTAGGAGAAAAGTTTTAAAGGCTGCAGCAATAGGAAATTCCGCACAGATGCTTGATCTTTTAATCTAATTCCAATAGCCGACCGGTACCGGTAAGCAGGGGACTGCTCAATTACCGGTACCGGTAAGTGATTTCACGTTTTCCACTCAATTACCCGTAGTGTTGAACCAAATATATTACCGCCAATTCCATTTAATGCTATAGACTACCGGTACCGGTATGACTGTATAAGGAACGACGCTCTGAATTCGGTACGGTCAGGTACCAAGTTCTGAAGTTAGGTTACCGGTACGTGCTGGCGAGAATGTCATGTCATTCTTGAAGCAATCACGGGCCCAATCTCACTCACTTTTCTCTCGTTCTCGGTTTCATGTTTTTTTCTGAGGCGATCGATGACAGTGTTCTGCTCTTTGTCTTTGGGGGTCTGGTATAGTTTAGTACCACATCCACTTCTAGTTGGCCTGGCTCAACAATTTTTGCATATGTCAATCCTACCCCCCACTTGACTAGGTCACCGAAAAATTGCGTCATTCCGACGTCACAGTGACGTAATAAGGCCCACCGAAGTATGCGGATGATCGTCCAAAACGCGTAGACGATCACTCGAAATCGAGCAAGCTATTTCTCTCATTTTCTCGTCGCAACGATCCCGATAAGAGAGAGATCGCCGGCTTTAGCAAGTTCGTTATCGCGGCGCAGATGCCATTTCGGGCGATCGTAATTATACTTTGACAATCCATATGACGTGTTGGTGACGTCGTAGTGGCGTAATTTTTGGATGGCATAGTCAGGTGAGGGCTAGGAATAACAATGCAAAATTCGTTGTGCTACGTCCACTGGAAGTACTTGTGGTACTAAACTATACTAGACCCCTCTTTGGTTGGTGATTACCGCGCAGCTCTGGAGCGTCAGAAATAGGCAGTTACTGGGCTAACTGGCAAGTTCCTTCATTCTCAACTTTCCTGTTTCTCAGCTTAAGCAAATTGTACTAAAATAGACTAAACCCTAGATTTTTGATTCAATCCAGAAAAGCTAATTTTTTAGTTAAAACTGTTTTGAACTGTCTTTCTCGATTGCTGCAAATATTCCATGGTTTAAGGACTTGCATCCACTTACTTTGCAGCTTTTATTATTTGTTTTATTATCTGAACAGCTGAATTTCACCTTTTTTGTGACTTTGCCTTAATAATTTATGACTAATTAGGATAAGTTTTACATGTTTATCCCAGGGGAGAGCAAAATCAATAAGATGGCTTAATCATATGGCGACTCACGGCCTTTCGTCCTGTTACCATTCCATATTGGGTATGGGATTAGTTAGCAGTTTTTTGTTTTTGGAAGCATGGACTTGATTGATCTCTGATTAAGGTAATTAGAATAGGTTTTACATATTTATCCCAGGGCCAGACTGGATTCCATGGCAGGTGCACGCCCGAGGGCGCTAGCGCTCCGCAAAAATGCACGCGAGCGAAATCAATTTTGCACGCCGAAAATTTGCAATTGCTCACCAATGTAAATCGGTTTAAATGGTTTTAAAATCAATAATCCAGTAATATAAAGATGCCAAAATATTATAACTCCACAATTGTCGACAAATACCAGCTTGCAAGATTTGGTCTGATCGAAATATTGCGAAGAAAAAAGACCATGGACCTTTCCCCAACCTTTGACCCGCGAAAAATTCCTCTCATTGTTACGTCCTTTTTTGCATCTTGCTGATTGGCCAATGTCACGAAGTAAACAAGGAAGTCGATGCTCGGGGAAAGGTCCATATCGTGTTGAATGATAGGAAATAGGAATCCCGTGAGAATAGTTATGGATGAAAAGATCGCCTCCGCACCAATGGCTAAGTACGGCTCTGATTCAGCGTATTTTTCATACAATAATTTTACACGAATGTACTGAACAGTACCGGTATCTAAAGTTGCTAAAACACTCCCAAAATTAGTGACAAAGTATGAAAATAATGTTTGGGGTCAAAGGTCAAACGTTCATTTTGCTCTAATTTGACGTATTTTTTATCCATTAATTCTACGTAAAAACACTACCAAAATTAATGACAAAGTATGTCCATTTTGCTCTGGTTCAACGTATTTTTTATCCAATAATTTTATGCGGATGTACTGAACAGTACCGGTATCCAAAGTCGCACAAACACTCTCAAAATTAGCGACAAACTGTAGAAATAATGTTTGGGGTCAAAGGTCAAACGTCCATTTTTTCTCTGATTCAACGTATTTTTTATCCGATACCGGTAATTTTACGCGGATGTATTGAGAGGTATCTGATGTCAAAGTCAGTTGCACGCGAGTGCAGTTGTTTTGCACGTCGTGAGCTATAATTGCACGCCAGGAATTCTTATTTGCACGCGGGAATTTCTGATTGCACGCCCGATTTCTCGTTCAAAAAGGCCATGAAATCCAGACTGGTCCCAGGGGAGAGGAAAGTCAATGAGATGGCTTAATCATATGGCGAACCACAGCCTTTCGTCCTCTTACCATTTCATGTCGGGTATGGGATTAGTTAGCCAGTTTTTTGCTTTTCGAAAGCATGGACTTGATCTCTGACTGACTCTGTATTTGCATTGTTCAAAATTGCTGTTTTATCTAACATTGAAATTAGCTTCAAGTTTGTTTGAATCATTCTTGGCATTCTTTTTATATTCAATAATTTGACTTGTTATGAAAAGCCTCGTATGCTGGTAGATGTGTAAATTTTTAGTGAAGCGAGTTTTTTGTTTCAAGCAGTACTACTGGCTACTGCTCATTGTATAAATATTATTTATTGCCATAAACTTATTTAATAAAGTTTGCTAATAATTGTACATATGGTTGAAAATTGTAACAGGTAATGGAAAATTCATCATCAAATCGAAAAGTATTTGTTTTAATAAAACATTCTAATGCAGCGGTATTTTGGTGGAAATCCCTAGAACTGTATTACCATGGGTTAAAATTGTATGCATTCATTTGTTATTTATATGAAATTAAATGACCTTACCAAGTTTTGTATTATCAATTGATTTATGTAGTATCCAATTTTCCTCTTTGCTGGAAATTTATGATTATTGAAAATTTACTTTACTGATTTTTGGTCTGTGTTGTTTGGGGAAAAACATATTGGCCATTTTCAACTTGACTTCTGTATAGTTTCCACATTTCTATATTTGTTTAGTAATTCAGGTTTATAAGTCCCATGCATGATAAAATGTTATTCATGCAAAGAGTTACAGCTGATGACATAAAGCGAATACCTCTTTCTTATATTTATACCTTTAGCACTAAATAGTTGATTAGTTCGATAGATTAGTTGATTAGTCTATTTCACATTTTAATCTGCTCAAAAATCTGTAACAATGGGCGCTGTTGAAATAAACATGCAAACTACGATGAGCTCTGATAAGGATGAACTTTTTATTTGCCCTTATGACCCTGTTCATAGAGTTGCAGCTAGAAGATACATTCGTCATATTATAAAATGTCGAAGAAATTTCCCATTAGTTGAGAAAGCTGTTTGTCCTTTTAATGCAAGACATGTTGTTCCTAAACCAGAATTGCGACATCACCTGAGCTGCTGCCCTGATGCTCGTATGATTGAATCTGAGATAAATTTTGATCGCTGTGGTTATGATGGGGATGAGGTTAAAGGTGATACATCAATGCCACCTATGCAGTCTCAACCATTAGATTTTGGGTCGGAAGAAAACTGGGACGACGAAATTGCTGATAATGCTTTGACGCAGGAATATGTTTACGGATTATCGGGACCTAAAAAGACAGTGAATCGTAGAAGAGAAGAAATCAAAAGAATAAAAGAAGAAATGAGACGTAAAGCTCAAGAAGAAAGCAATTTTATTGAGGCTCATTTTGAAATTCATCAACGAAGGCCAATGCGACATCCTGGTGTTGCAGACAGACAGAATCTCATGCAGTATGGCCTGTTTTTTGCTGATGACCCAAATCCAGCCAAACCACTTCTCGCAGCCAATTTTCAAAAACCAGTGCTCTCTGATTAGTTTAGCAAATGAGAGATCTTCACGACATGAAATTACCTAACTTTAAGTGTAACACTACCGATCACAATATGTAGAAAATGAATCTAGCAAAGATCGATCATGATTAGATCTATTTTTTCTATTTGTTTGATATTTTTGAACATTTCTTTTTTTGACATTACACTTTACAGCTGTGGTAAGTCAGTGTCATTACATGTGTTCCAAATAGTCTTAGTCAATTTTTTTGCAAAACATGCAAAATTATCAGAAAAATAAGCGAACACACATTTAGCCCAAATAGTAGTTCGCTAAAGTAATATCAAAATTAAAAACAAACCTTTAACTCGACAGGATTTTCTGAATTTAACCATGCTTGTTCTGGCATTTTGTTAGAACATTCACATAGGTTGAGTAATTTAATATTATTTAATGTCAATGAATGGGTGTGTTGCTAATTGAAATTTGTTTATTAAATTGGGGTGTGCTATTATTTGAATTCCCTTTTTCTTTACCTACATTGTCACATGTGCTTGCTTTCTCTCAATAGCACCAATTTCATTCTTTTTGCACCTGTTTTTTTTATTAATAAATAGTTACCAAATTTTACAATTGTGGAAAGTTATTCCGGTTGACTGACTGATGGAAAGAAAATATAATAGAAACTTAATTGTGGGGCAACGGCAGAACAGTGCCTTAATTATGTTATAAAGTTAAGTGGGGTGACAGCTACCAATATCATAAATGAATGATGTGTGTGAGTGTGCCTGACCTTGATTTGCAAAAATAGTTTTGGGGTCTGGCAGAGATGTCCAATTTGAATTCAGCATTATATCGTTTTAATGTTTATAACTTAAATTATAAGAATAGCGAATATCGCAAACAATCGACATAACATGTCGAACACGTTTTTGATTGGAAATATTTTACAATAACTCGTGTTTTTTCGTAATAAAAGAAGTCGTGTGTGGCGCAGCAATAAATCACAGCCGACATAAAAAGATTTAAAGTACTTGTAACACGTTGAGGACGTTTTTGATTGAAATTATTTTATAATTATCATCGTACATTTATTCCATAATAGTCGAGATCGTCTGTGCGCTGCAACAACAAATTTTCTGAATTTTTATCTTGTAATTTTAACTGTTTTCATTCTCCGTTCCGAACATGACGGGGAAATTTTGCATTCTTGCGATTGATGGCGTCTAAAATAGCGTTTAAATATTATTCGGTGGCCGCACTACAGCTGCAGGGAATAGTGTTGTCCAAATAACTAATTTTCCCTACATATTAAATGAACAATCTTTTAGCTACCGACTTCGGGATGTGTTGTTTTTCCTATCGTGCTTATGTGATTTTGCGTTATATAAAACTCATGAAATGTCGTTACTGCGTATCGATTGAAAATTCTGATAAATTGAACTAATGGCATTTCAACATATTCACATTAATATATCCGTACGGAAATCGTAGAAATGTTACTTTGTTATGAACTTGAATGGATGTTTACAAAACGGCCCACTGAAAAGTTGTTGAAATTCACGCGATATTGGCGCACATGATGCTTTTTTATAAATTAAATCAATATCATAGCCACTGGAAATAAATAAATAACAAACATCATAACGCAAATATAACACTCAATTTTGAGGACCTTGTCTGTTACCGAAAAGTGTGTGCAGATTCTCACGTGTTCATCAGAAATAGTTTAATTCGCCAGAGGTGCGTTGTGCCGAGCAAGCGTTTAATTCGGTGACGTAACGTCTCCAAGTCACGTGTTACCAAACATTGGAATAAGTATGAGTTTATTTCGACTCCATAATCAGCAGTAGACGATAAAATAATAGATAAAGACAAAAAAAATAGTAAACTGCTACTGTAATATTCGCTATTCGAATATTTTGCCCAGCTCTTCCCTAAATTTTGTTTTTTTTTGTATTTTGTAAATTATGACTTAACTTAGAACTTGTCTGGTCTTCCAGTTTGGTAAAAACATTTGCATAAATATATAAAACATATATAATTTGATGGAAAACCGTATTACAGTAGTATATATTTACGGGAAAACCGATGTCCATCTTATTTTTAGCATTACGTCATAATTTTGCTGATTCACGATGATCGTTTACAGTTGCATTCGCCAGAGGCAGGGGCCGATGTTTATCTTCATATACATACCGGTAGCACAGGGCAGCCTACCGGTATTTGTTTTCGAAATTATTTAATTTTTCGAATCGAAATGGCACTGGGGAGTTTATAAATTAAAGTGGCGCTGGACAGACTGTGCCGCCATCACGTCCCAGAATTTTAAAAATTTTGAACTGTACCTAGCTGTAAACAGAATACCGGTACCGGTACCGGTACCGTACCCGTACGTCGTACCGGTTAGGTGTTTAGTTCGGTAAAACCTCCAATTTTTAATCTTTTTAAAGTATGGTACATCTGAGCATCACATAGATAGGCTACAGCCAGTACAGCTGTGCTTTTATGTTCTGCATATTCCAGTATTCAGATACCGGTATTGGATTTAAGCAGAAGACAGAAAAAGGTGAATAATCTATACCGGTACCGGTAACAGTTGATGCTGATAGTTTTTAGACTTTGGGTCATTTGTCAGTATCTACATGTTTTTTGATGGGCTACGGTACCTTAGGTATATAAGTTATTTATTTTCTGTTTAATACAGTAATATGCTGATCTTTTTATTGCACTATCCCAATGTAAATAATTTAATCAATACCTTAATTATATACTGTCAAAATGGATAACAGACTTTTGTCTTAAAATTCAGGGGAATACAAATTGTCTGTACATTGGATTTACTTCAACTGTTGCTCTGTTTATCTGCAATTTATTATGACTGATTTATGTCATCTTTGAAGTCAAGTTCCCTTCATATTCATTTGCTTGAAAATTGTTAAAAATCTACAGTGGTCTAATTCGAATTTCATGGAATTTGTAAAAATAATGATTCCTATGCTGCGGCAGTAGCATTTCTTAAGACAAAACTCTCAACTAGAAATAATTTTGCATATCATCATTTCCCATGATACTCAGAAAAGCAATGTTGCTGAAACGATTTTGCACGACCACCAAATTCCAGACATTTTGTCTGATATTTTCTGTGTTTGGAATGCTGCATATCATGTCAAGTATATCAGAGTTGAAAATTTTACAACTCAAATCATCATCACCAGTGACAACAGTTGTGAAAAGTGGAAATAACCCTGTTTACTGGCTTTCAGCAAATAATGCTGACTCTGGATACATGAACCATGTCAAAGAAACTTTTAAAGCTGTAGGATTTGACAGATGGAATGAAAAATCTGGAGATTGGGATGTAATGTGGTCGTATGAATACCCATTCGGAAAAGCAATAACAAGTACTACGTTGAAGCCACATCAAAAAGTGAACCATTTTCCTGGATCTGGGTATTTGACAAGTAAAGGGTATCTCGCTATGTCCAAATCAAGGTATATTCCACTTGCGTTTTCTTTGCCACAAAATTTAACTGATTTTAAGAAATATATTGAAAAGCATCCGGAAAAAATGTGGGTTCAAAAAAATAATAAACACAGGGGAATTAAAATAAAAACAAAAAAAGAACTTGATTTTAGTGCACCTGACTCGTTTATACAGGAATTTGTGAGGAAGCCTTTTCTTGTGGATAGACGAAAATTTGACGTTGGGATTTATACTGTGATTACTTCCATTAATCCACTAACTGTGTACGTCCTTGATAATGAATGGTTGATAAGGTTTTGCCCTGAAGATTATGAACCTTTCGATTCTGGGAATGTTAGAAAATATGTGGTTGAAGATGACTATACTCCAACTTGGGAAATGCCATCTTTAAAGACGGGTTATAAGAATATGAAGCTTTCACACAAAGAGAGCTTGCTACAACATTTAAAAACAATCGGCCTTAACGAGAAAAAAGTTGTTGATGATTTATATGCGGCCGTGTCAGAGTTGATTTGGGAAAAGCAGCCAGATATTATTAGATCAGTTGGGTATTATCCCTATGGTACAAGATCATTTTTTGAACTTGTTCGTTTCGATTTTGTTCTTGATGAGGATTTAAATGTTTATGCAATGGAAGTGAACATGTCACCTAATTTATCTAGCGGACATTTTGCCGATAACGCAAGAATGTACCGACAAGTTATATTCAATACTCTATCACTAGTTGGAATCGCAATGCAAAGGGAACACTCCGCTACGAAAAATATATTTGAAGAGGAGATGTCTGTCAGTAATCGCGATATCGTAGCTTACCCAGAAGAATGCTTGAAATGTAAATATTGCTTAGATCATATTTGCAAACTATGTAGTCAATGTATGGTAATTCCTGTTGAAAATAGTTTGAAAATTGCGTATAAACATCATGTTAACAGAAGAAATTTCAAGAGAGTTTATCCCAAACCACTAGGCGACAAAGATTCTGCTTCATTGTACAACCCAGTAAAAGATAAAAGATTAAGAACTGATTTAGATAAGATGCTTGCTCTTTGGTATAAAGGGAAATGCTTGCAAGACCTTTCTTGGTGTATTTGAGTCTCAAGTCCACATTTGATGAATCAGATGAAAACTTATTTCATCTGATTCAAAAAATTGCCTGACATTTGGTTAATTGAACATTGGAGGAAGAATATTGAAATGGAATTTGGGGCCAAATAATTAGTTTTCATTTCTTGTTTGGATTTGAAGAATTACTTTTGAGTAACTTATAGCCAATTTTTAAATCTGCGTAATCCATACGTTCCATAAATTGTAAATACTACCAAGCTGTCGTACATCTCTCCCTACAAGGAGGTTACTACTCAGCAAATACCATAATTGCACTTTGATTTTAATCGAACATTTCCCGCTTCGTCTCACTCTTACTATATGTACCGTACTTGTTAATAGCCTGATACATTGTTTTGGGTTAACAGTAATTATTCTGAAATCCCTTTTTAGTTCCAAGTCTAGGACTAACTAGAGACATGCCTACAACCTCATATATAAATAGTTGAGTTTTATTCAAATAATTCTACCATACTACTGTATTTGTCGATGCCTCAATACATTGATTTAAGAGACCGCTAATCAAGGTAAAATTGCAGAGTTTTGAGTCCAGGACTGTAGGAGGTACGTCTCCTACCTCACACACAAATACAAGTTGGTTTTATTCAAATAATTCATGCCATTCATCACATGCATTTGTTACCATCTCAGTTTTGTGATTTGGGTGGTATATTCAGGAATACTTGGTTGGAGTATTTGAGTTCAAGCACTGTCCAAAGATGGCCACATCTCTTCACCTTATACAGGCAGTAATATATTGATTATGTGGGCTATGCTAACCTGTAAAACAGTCATTATGAACTTAGGTAATTACTTTGTACGCCTTAGTTGCTGTATTGAATGTCTTTCAGTATGATATTATTCTAAAAAATTGTTATTCTAATCATGACATAATCCTTTATTGCATTTGTTCATCTTTTTGTTACCCTGCTGTGCAATGATATTTATAACTCGTTTAAAAGGGGATAATAATTGTGTTTTTTTTTCTATGTTTGCATTGCATATTTACTTCCAATGATGAACTGTGCATTTTTTAAAATCAAATTACCTAAAGGTACATATCAAATTTATTTGTTCATTAGATTCTTGTTCATAATATTTAGTGCTACTTTAGCTTGCTATCACACTAATGCATGATATTAACCATCCCATATTGTAGGATCTACTTGAAGCTAGAAAACAGATAGTAATGCGAAAGTATGTTTATTCAACAAACATGTTGAAAATACGTGGATGGAACGTAAATAATGAAATAAATGATAAGTTTTGAAATGTAAATATCCAAAATAAGTTGGGCAAAATCAAATCTGATTAATACTTTTATTTTTAATTCGCTCCACACCCTTTCAAAAAATTGCCTATGCCCTTGTGGAACACACTCCTCCGTTTGAGATGAGCGTGAGTAATACCTCAAGCCAACACTGTAGTGTGGGGTCTACCTAATGCTAGGAAGTTGCGGTAAAACTTCTGCAACATTTTGAATCGACCTTAGTCGATGTTAATTGGTTCGGGCCAAGGAGATATCTGAGGCTGCACTGGGTAGGTGACATATGGTGATAGGCGGTAGCACTCGCGCTATAGTAGCACCAGGTATTTCTGAGAGACCATGTTGTCCAGGGAAATTCGCTTCCGATGAAAACTTATATTTTATGTTGGTAAATATTCGCCAGTTCACTCTGTTGCTTTAGCCTATCTAAGATAAGTAGAATACTAGACCAGTTTTAATGTGTATTGAATTTATAAACATCAAACTATTAACAATGCTTCTTTTTTGCATATTTTTTTTCTTCTTTTTTACACTATAATATGGAACATAAAATATAATTTATTTCTATAACACATACTTGAATGACATTTTTTTTAGCGAAATTATTAGAAATAAATATTTTTCAAATACATACTTCTGTTCTCATTTCGTCTGTGAACTGTCACCTCGTAGCAAAATTAAAAAATATGGTCGCAATTTCAACTCAAAATCATGCATTTGGTGTTCTGAAATTCGATCCATTATCATCTTAATTCAACTGTGTAGTTTATAAGTATATTAAAAATATATAGAGCACAATTGGCATAGGTAAAAGGATGTAATTTGCCAAAGTCTCAAGGTAACTATTCGAAAAACTTCATCATGGCATGATATGGTAAACCTTAGCTTATATTAATGTGTTCAAAAATTTCGCTCATTTCTATAGCAATAACTAAAAATTTCGTTGTTTTGGTAATTCATAGCTTTTATTCATAGTTTTCGTATTTCTCGTTTATCATACAATAAAATTTAATTAACTAACAATTGTTATAGTTATAAAACTATACAGTCTCTTTGTAAAATCACGCTGTTCTGGCTAAGCATAATTCTATTTCGGTAGTTTTTCCCATTCAGAGATTGGTCTCTTTTATTTCAGGGTAAGCGCATGAAATCTTCCTCTGATTTATTTTATTCACATCGTTTTGCGTACTCACTGATACTCTCTATGACAAACAAGATATTTTCCTGCAACAAATTACATTTTGTTGCCTACACGCAGATCCTCAACGATAACCCTTGCTCTGATATTTTATTTTATATGAAATAAATCATTTGATTGACATATTCACTTCTTTTCTTTATTTTTAACTCTATCTCTCCTACCTTATATCATGAATGCATTGATTTTTGTTGAAAATTGAATATTGCAAAGTAACTTGTAACAAACAAGGATCATCTTGTAAATAATATACTACTGGTTTCTACATTTTTATTAATATTATTTTGTATTTTATATAAGTTATATCTGTTCTGTATATTTGGAATTCAAATGTATATAATTATAGAAATTTTGGGAATTTTAGCGAAGTAAACGTGTAACACTTAAAATAACGTCAAACAGGAATATGATGTTAAAATACTGTCAAAACTGCTTGAATAAGGCCAAACAGAAATGTGATGAGAAATTTTTATGTTTTTTTTTAAAAAGTCTGACGCGGAATGAAATTCTTGAGAGACTTGTTTAGTAAAATTAAATCCACTCAAATTTCAACTAAGCAGCTATCCCATGTCATATACGAGTATAGCGTTCTGTGCCAAACAGACTTTTATTTCAAAAAAATAATAAAAATTTGGGCTGTATTTTTAGATCATTTTTGTTTGTCGTTATTAAGAACTTGTACTTCGTTAGACTCAAAGTTTGTCATAAATGTGAAACTTTTCTCAATGTAACAATTTTTTTTACTTGCTATATATCTTGATTGGCAATTAATGCTATTGCTGCCTAACAGTGCTGTTGGTTCAGAAAAGACCTGCCTATATTTTTGACTTTATACTCCTCGTGTAAAATATTTTGATAACGATTCTGTCAGAAAACTGGATTTTGTAAGGCATTTTATGGAAATTCTGACTATACCTCCTTCATTTAGAAGCTTGATTCTAAATATGGCACCGCTGCCTATATATGTCTAGGTATATATATTATACAATTTATTGTGCTCTATTATCGAAATCACTATGGTCAAGACGACATTTAAAAAGGTATGAGGTATGAGTCACCCCTAACAGATGAATTTGCTCAATTTTGTTCATGGTAGAATTAATAAATAGTTTCTTGGTTGAGTTGTTGCTCTCTCTCTAAAAAATGATTTAGTTTCCCAAATCAGTTCAAGTTTTGAGGGTTCAGCCCCCCTATTACTAATTTAGCTCAGCTACACAATTATAACCTGCTCTTAAATATGGCAGCCCAATATGCCTCTATGAAGAGGACCATTCAAATCTCAATTGGAACCTTATAACTATACCTATTTATATCCTGAGTCTAACAGCCCTTTACATATTAGAGTTTTTAAATAAGAATTAAAGCCATATATCCATACTTATCCATGATCTTGTGTTTTCATTCTTTTCATCATTCATGTTCTTTTTCACTTTATAATAGGAAATATTATGTCTTAGGTTACGCTATTAATTAATCTGAAAAATGGCGGGAAGATCTGAAAATGGTGACGGTGATGAAGATTTAGATTTCGTTTATGGCGATTGTGACTCGTTTATAAGTGAGTTAGGAGAATTGTACAGTTATACAGAGGAGAATGAATTTGCTTTAAACCAAGAATGCTTCATAGAAATCCTCGGTGACGAGAGAAAATGGATTGAAATGACTTTGGAAGAAAAGAAGGTTGTGATTATGAAGGCAATGGATGGAACAGACGTCGTAAATTCTGAAAAGAAGTTTCGAGCGGTGAGAAGTTTATTATACATTGCACAGGGTAATTTTACTGAATTTGCCACCGTTGAGGAACTTTTGAAAAGTTCCAGGAAAAATTGCTTTTTATTGTATGAAATGGGAGTATTTGGATTGGCAGAAGAATTACTTCTAATGGAAATACATAAGAATGAGAAAGAAATTCCTGATTCGAAAAATCCAACAGTGTGTTCTATCGTTAACAGTTCGGAATTAAGAATCGTGATTAGTCTACTTTATACAATGCTCGAGACTATTCGACAGTTTGAAGAAAGCGATTCTGAAAAATTCAAAAAAGCGAGAGATGCGTTCATTACATTGTTAAATCAATCAATTAATGGAAATGAATCGCTTTTCGTCGTTTTGTTTAATATGGTTACCAAGTTCTGTAACCACAACATAACAGCTTATCCAATTAAAAAGGTTCTTTTATTATTATGGAAAGTTGTCTTGGCGATGGTGGGCGGGCTTGAAGATTTACACCAGTTAAAATGTAAGAAAAGAGAGGAGGCGGGGCTTCCACGTTTAGCAGAAAATCCTATTGAAGTTGCTAGAAAAATGAAAGCGTCTGCTCCACCAATGAACGCAGCGGATTTGTTCGACCAAGGTCAACCGGGGAGGAGAAAAAATCGCAGAGGAATCATACGTGGACCAGAAGTGGTTGAAGTTTCAGGTTCGGAAAATAAATCTGAATCTTCTGGTGATATTGACGTCGATATACACATTCCTGGGGCGGATGACGAAGATTCTGAAAAAGAAGAAATGATAGAAAATGGAGCTGATCTACTCCCAGCCCCTTCAGATCAAAATGAGGTGGAAAAAACTGATGAAGACATCATATTTAACTCTGAAATCGATGCCCCTGTTCCCGGAGGAGGAATTGATACTCCAGCAGTTGGTATCGGAACGCCAGCACCATTTAAGAGGGATCCAACACCGGGTGACACTGCCGCAATCGCTTTAAAATTAATGAAAATTAAAGCAGAACGTGAGGAAGAGCATGCTCTAAAAGATCTTCATGTTATCAAAGTACCTTCTGGGCTTCACTGGACTCCTAAAACTCGGGAACGAGATGTTGAGATCTTCTTATCTCAAGTCCGTCAAAAGTTTGTCGGTTTTCAACTTGAAGGTGATGTAACTACTATGGCTGGTCTTCCTACGCCAACTAAGGAGAGTGTTAAAATTCTTCGAAAGCATTTATATGTTTCACTTGCGGAAAAGCAAATTGAAATTGAATCACAGATAGGAAAATACCCCCTAACAAAAGCAAAATTGGATGTCATTCCTGATAACTCGACGGAAAAACTTTACCAATCAATTCTACCAAATTTACCACAATATATGATTTCCCTTTTGAAGATCTTACTTGCCGCAGCTCCGACATCGAAAGCAAAAAGTGACGCAATCAATATCTTAGCTGATGTTTTGCCCCCTGAGATTCCATACTCTGCAGTTCAATCAGTAAGATTAGGAATCGATGTCAATCGTCATCGTGAAATAATCGTTAAATCAATTTCAGCAATTTTGCTTTTATTATTGAAACATTTTAAGCTGAATCATGTTTATCAGTATGAATACATGAGTCAGCATCTTGTGTTTGCGAATTGTATTCCTCTTGTTTTAAAATTCTTCAATCAGAATATTGTCGCTTACGTCACAACGAAGAACGTCATTCCTTCATTGGAATATCCTGCTTGTGTTGTTGGAGAGAAAGTGGAAATCACAGGTATGGAGAAATTATAGCGAGGTTCCCCACTATATTGTTTATCATTCGAAGATTGTTCTCTCGTATTTTGCATTCGAATTTTCGGGACAAACTCCCTCAGAATTTCAAGATTGTGTTTGAGAGATAATTGTGAACTGTGGTTGCTTTCGAAATTCATTAGTTAAGGGTGGAAGTATTTCTTAGAAGTCAATTTTTTTATTTTGTATTATCAGTCCTTACCATTGTTCTGTAGAATTTTTTAAACTCATATTTGCAAATTATTTTTAAGACAAAATTCTGCTTGTCTAGTCTCCTTCATATTTTTGGTAGTTAGAGATAGATGTCTCTATAAGGTGTATTCTTAATTTGACCAAGGAATAATTGCACCAGTATTGTTGAGTATTTAATATTTTTTCAGCTGAATCTCTGGAACCAGTTGACACCCAATCTGCAGCCTGTTGGAGAAATCTATTCTCGAGCATCAATCTGCTCAGAATTTTGAATAAACTTGTAAAATGGAAACATTCAAGAACCATGGTAAGTGTACTAGTGAGGTGTTTCTCTCTTAATAAACCTTGAACAAGGCTCTGTAAAAGAAGCCACTGTGGCAGGAAATGCATGATATTAAAAAACTGAACTCTTAAACTGTTTTTTATTCAAGTCTTGGCATCTGCCCATAACTTGAAATTTGGGCCGCTTTGCCTGGGATTCTCCCGATTCAGAGTCTCAATTCAAAAGATTTAGTCAACAATCTTTTCAATTTCCCAACAAAACTAGAGAAATAACAGAATGAAAATAATTTTTCATGACTCTTGTTCATGCCATTCTCTCTGAATCCCATTGTGTTACATGCCCAACGAAGTGACACCCTGTGAAATAACCTTTAAAGCAATGAAACTAAAAAGAACAGGTTGTTTTCTTGTAAAGGGAAAAGTGAAATCAGTGTTGCACCTGGTATTGTAGTCCCCCCTCATACTGCTCTGTTACCCCATTAGAAGGCCAAGTGCCGCGATTGGGAACCTCTGCACCAGGCTATCACGTCCACTAAATGGAATCGAACATGCGACATTTTTTCAGATGCTTGTGGTCTTTAAATCATCACCAATATTGAAACGAGCATTAAAAGTCAGGCAGGCAATGTTGCAGCTTTATGTTCTCAAACTTTTGAAATCTCAAACAAAGTATCTTGGCCGAGCATGGAGGAAGAGTAATATGAAGATTATGTCAGCCATTTATCAGAAGGTAATGTTTTCTTATTTGGTGATAATTTGGGTGCTCCAGAAGTATGTGGACCAATATGGAGGGAACTAATTTTGTTCGCCCACTTTACATCAAGTTGTATAATAGGATTGATTACTATGGCTATGGGCATATGTGAATATGGGGTATATTCACTTTGTTAACACAGACAGTCCTCAAACTCGTAATAGAACTAAAATAAGGAAAATCTGAATAAAATTATGGCCTAACCCTAACCTGGTACACACAAGTCACTCTTTATCAAAAACTCAAAGTATTGCTCGAGTTACCTGAATGGAATGAACTTGGACACAAGTAACCACAAGTGAGACGTAACCCAGTGATTGACCCGACCTCAAATGACTTGGACATCTAACCAGCACTGCTCTTCATTTAGTCTGCTCCCATGGCTTCGTTTTTTTGTGATATTATTTTTCTATTTTCCGTTAATGACCTGCTTTTTATCGTAGGTGAGACATCGCTTGAGTGATGATTGGGCTTATGGAAATGATGTTGATGCCAGACCTTGGGATTTTCAACAAGAGGAGTGCACGCTTCGAGCTGAGGTAGGAAAATCCATTCTTTTTCTTACATTGGTTCGCTTCCTTAGTATCCATAATGGTGAAAAAAAATTAACAGAAACACGTTAAAAGCAACCTGAGTATTGTTATAGATGAACGGGGGGTACTGTCGTAGTGTATGTACCAGGTTAGGGTTGTATATTATACATACGAGGAATATTGTTACAGATCTAACAAGAATTTTACCCAGTTAGGGTATGTACTGAGATTTATAGGGGTAAAAGTACAAACATAGGCGCAAATTAATAAAAACAGAATTGATTATAGACTCGATAAAAATTACTCGAGTCCAAAAAATGCGTGGATTCGACTCCAACCCGAGACCGGATCCGAATCTCGACCCATCCCTACCCTCTACCCATAGGTTTCAGTCCCCTTACATAACTTGATGTAAAGTAGGCGAACAAATTTAGTTCCCCCCATTCTGGTACATGTACTTCTGGAGCGCCGAGCAGGGAACCACAGGTGTTGAGAGTGCGAATGGATCAGTGGATCATGAAAGTTTTAGACTGGACTGGACTAGAATATTTCCAATTTGACATACTTATTTGATACATCCCGCATGGTTGCATTTCATTTCCAGAGGATCACTCTGCAGTGCCTACTCTATGGTCTTATGGCATAGTTTGAGAAATGCTGCACTTCTGATTTGACTCTAATTCAACACAACCTACATGATTGCATTTCGTTTTCAGGTGGAAAGATTCAACTTCAGAAGATACAAGACGGACAGTCCGACTATTATTCCTCCAAATCAAGACCATGAACCGGTTGACAATGACCTTCACAGTGTCCTTGGAGAGAAATTTGACCTTCCAAATGAGTTTGTGAAAAACTATGATATTTGGTTGGAACGAGAAGTGTACTCTACAACGACAGATTGGGACCAGTTGCTTTCAATCTCATGTGTGCAGTAGTGAAGATAACCTCACTATTCTGGAAACATTAATCTTGGGTTTAAATCCCCTTCACCCAGTATGCTCCCCTGCTTTTCATTTTATAGAAGGGGGGTAATTTGAAATTTATGGGGTGGTAAATATTTTGCCAATTGGCGATAAAACTATGTTATGTATTTGACAGGCCATCTACATCTACACTGAAGAATATGTCATATTCTATATATTTGAATAAAACTATACTTAAGTTTGGAATTACAGTTTGGTATCACACCCCCAAATTAGGGGGTATTTTAGAAATTTTAGTGGGTTCTTCACCCCTATAGGAGGGAGGGGTGTAGGGAAGCCACTACCTTCACCTTAACCGGGGTAAAACAAATTGGATTGTAAATCTTGGAAAGGGAAAGTTTCCGGTCCTTTCAAACTACAGCAGCTTCTTACCTAACAGTGGTTGCTTGTTAAGAGCCTGGTTCAAAGTGAAGGGCATAAATGCAAAGTTAAAAAAGTGTCTGAATGTTGAAAGGCTTGTTTTCTATCATTTGATATTTTCCATTTTTAATGAATGTGTTGATCTGTAGCGAACCCTGTATTCTCTTCCCACTATGCCTGGTTAAAAGTGAAAGGAATAAATGTGCATTGCAAAAAAAAGTTAAAAAAGACACGTTTTCTATCAGTTTATATATTTTATGATTTATAATGAATGTGTTATGAATTATGATACATAGAGGTTATTCTACATATTATCTTTTCATATTTTCTAAAGCTTGAAGATCATTATTAGGGTTATAGATAAATTCTACATGACCGTCAGCTCTGAGCCGTCAAAAACAAACATTTTTGAGTTTTTTGTTCCGAGATATTCAACACTGATTAAATTTGAAAGTATACCTCAAATATTAGATTTTTTTTTGAAAAGTAAAAAATAATAATTGACCTGAATTTATCAGTGCTTTTGAGTGACCATCAGGCAAATTTCAGCATTTTCATAAATTCAAGTTTTATTTTAAAATTTATTCAGTTTATTAGGTTGATTTTGATTCATGGTGAATGTAACTGTTCGATCATGTCTCTCTATTTTATTGGTTCTCAAACTTTTCAAGTCGTGCCCATCTCAAAAATAATTAGCTGATGACAATATGCTACAAATAACAGATAGTAAGGTGAAATATGTTTTATTCAAAAAACACGTTGAAAGTATGTGAATGGAACGTAAATATCCAAAATAAGCAGGGCAAGTTCAAATCTAACAAATATTTTTATTTAGCTTCCCATTCTAATATGTCAAAGTTTCCTTTTTACAATCTTCACAAAGGAACAAAAATTTGCAACACAAAGAATGACCATGTGGCTTTTTTACGCATAGCAGTTTTGTACAGTGTACAGCACTTCTTACTAGAGCCAAGATCTGAAGCCCGAGCCTGACATTTCGGGTAGGGTCGGGCCTGAAATTTCAATCATTACGTTCGGGTCAGCTTCACGGCCCCTCAAGAACCCACCGTTTGAGAACCACTGACCTATTTGCTTGGCATTTGTCGTACTTGGCGTAATTGATATAAACAATATGTTTTATCTTCAACTCAACCAAGTAACTTACATGATGTGCAAAAATGATATTTTTGTAAAAATTTTAGAAATAATTCAGAATATTTATTTGAAATATGATTTTGAGCAGTTGAATTCTCACAGTATAAATGAAATGCGTACAATTAATATCTGAAAACCAATATTTCACTATTTATCGCAACTTTCCTGCATTCGGATCCAAAATTAATCTTGTTCTTTTATTCACTGTCAAATCTGAAAGTTCAGAAAAGAGCCTTAACAATTTTTAGAAGTGAAAACTGTTGACTTACTCAAGAAAATATAATCTTTATTTGCATGTGCTTCAATCGATTGATCATTTTTGTAACATAAAATATTGTGCAGTTGGAACTTGTCTGATCGTCGTTTTGACTTTCCTATTTCGAGATTTATATGAAATTGGCACCAGAAAATTTAAACCTTGGGTGTTGCTTTGGTTTCCTGCGGCTTCCCTTCTGCAGTATAACTGTCATTATCTTTTTACTGGTTGAAAAAAATAAACTTGACTTGAGTGCTTGATGAGACCACAGAATTAAAGTCATTCGAAAGTAATATGGAACCTCCAAGTTGGAAAGTTCTGTGTAAATTTCGAATGTTTGATTGAGCCAAGAAATTGGAACATGCTTGCAATTAGATATTTTTAAGAGGTTTGCGGAACTCAAAATCGCTGAGTTTGTGGTTCATTCAGTGTGAGGAGACTCATCCGAAGGAAGACTTTCAAATAACAGTTTGATGGACTTGACTTACGGAAGATTTTCAGGGAGTCTTTGAAAAAGCAAAACACCCGGGTAAAATACAATTTGCCACTTATAGTTATTTCGATCAAATCGGAATTTTACAAGGTTGCAGTAATAAATATAAATTAAACGTTGTTGATACACAGTGTGTTTTACCTTCAAATTCAAGCTGGTTTAACAAAAGTATGCAGTATCAATGCAAAATTGTATCATATTCTGATATTCACCCACCCTCAGTGTTGTGAAATTTACAATGACACGAGATTCTGAGTTTACCACTCAAGTGGGTTCGTCATGTAATTCCTTTCATCCCCCCAGGATAAATACAAAGATCCTTCTGAATACCCGGGAACAATTGCAGTGTTATAATTCGAGTTTAAGCAACAAAGGTTTCACTTTCTCTTGAATTCAACTCATTAATTATTCAACAAGAACGTTACGACACAGACTCTCCAATAAGCTATTTGTGGAATTAATTTTCAAGGACATGAGGGCTTAGCGAGTTCCAATACTAATTTTAATTCCGCCACACCAGTATTTTGAAAGCATTATGGTGATTATGCACTTTGAGGGGGTGCCAGGTATTCTTATAATGAAAATGTGACACTAAAAACCAAACCAATTCTCAGCAATTCGTTCGCAATATTATTTTTCGACTCATTGCAAATAGATTTTGGTTTGAAAGTTATTACCAGTTTATATAAATAGTCAAATGTTTAGAATATACAAAATTTGCTGGAATTGATAGTAAATAGTTTTCGAAAACAAATCTGAATATTTGGAAATTTGTTTGGCTGTACTCAGCCAGATAAATGAAAGATAACGATCTTTTATCAGTTGAGAAGGAAACAATAATATAAGAACACAGTGACCCCCAGAAACGAAACACATATAATATGTTCCAGCACATTTATAGGGTTGAGTTTGGTCATTTGAATAATTATAATACAAACATTTCTCTCCTACTTGACCTAAATTCATTTATTCTTGTGTATAACAACATCTATAATTTGTTTATCCTCAAATTAATTTACGTATAAGGGTCATCATTGTCAGAAACTCACATTGGGTAGCAGAAAAATTGACACACCACTGTTTGCATGAGCTTCACTATAAAAATTTACACATCTACCAGTATACGAAGCTTTTCATAACAAGTCAAATTATTCGATTTAATAAAAGTGCCAAAAAGGGGCATCATCGTCAGAAACTCGGCAGAGCAGCAGAAAAGTTTGAAATGTCCCTGTATGCATGGATGGCTAATTAGCCCCACATCTTACTGGACATGGTCAGATCTCGTCAACTTTCCTCCACTCAAAGAGCAGTCACAACAATCAAATATTCAAAACATAAACGCCATTTATTATTGAAATAAGTTAAAACTACACAAAGTCACTGATGTGTTCTATAAAGCACCTATAAATATCTAAAAGCACAAAGTATTTAAAAACCTAGAGAGACGACAACAACTAAAAAGGTAAAGTCAGTATTTTCTAAAATCAGGGATGTCCATATTTTTTAGTACTTGCTTGAAAACCAAGTAATATTAGGTTTGTGCATTATTAAGACTTGTCAGATTTTAAATTTTACAGATTAAATACAGCTAATGCTAATTTGAATTGATTTCTATCCATGTATTTGGTTAATGGTAGAGGACACTAATGGGTCAATGGACTTTCATTAATGAATTAACGATTTGTTGAGAGTGCTGTGGTATAGTCCAGTTTGAATTCATAAAAAATTATACATTTGATTACACACATTGTATTTTACATTTTATGACCAAAATTGGCAATTTGTGCTAATAAAATTTTTGTGTCAAATTTGCTAAATATAATATGTTTTATTAAATGACAGGGTTAATTTTATTTGGAAAATGACCAATTGCCATATTTCTTCAGGGTACAGTATAGCCAGCAGTCTAAGCACCTGCGTGAAATGGGAGTTGTGCTGTGCCTGTCAGTATACGTACATACGCAAAAAGTGGAAGAAACAGCAAATTTTTTTCCATGGAATTCTCCCTACACAGCTCCAAATTTATGAAAAATGAAATGTTTCTATAGTTCATAGAGTCTAAGAAAATATAGTTGAATATACTGGGAATGGTTTAGTGTTAAAGTTTGGGTTTTGTCAACCATTTGAGCACCAAATTTAGGAAATTAAGAAAAAACACGAAAAAAAAGGCTTCGAAAATCACCAGGTAAAACAGTGAGACATAAAACTTTGGTCAGAAATTGAAAAACTGGCCGTCTAAAATCACAGAATGAACCAATAACATTCACGTAGTTCCAGGTGCTATCGCAAACTGTCAATTCGCTTTAATTTGTTCTTAGAATTTGACCAGAGTTATTATACCAGCGATATTAGCGAGGGTTGAACACAGAAATACAGCCTCAGGTATTCATGCTACTGTAAGAAGGTTCATGTAATGATAATAATTACACACAGTTAAACTCGCCATTTGTAATCTCCAGCCATGAAAAAAGGTGCAATTTTTGATAGTATTTCTTTTGTACTTATCCTGTGGGAAAATCAGGACATTTTAATCATATGGTGGACCGCAGCCTACAACACATCCATGAGACCAGATTTGGTTCAAAACTATGCCAGACAGTTTAATTACCTACATGGTGGGCCGCAGCTTATCAGCTATAATGATAAGGACCGATTTCGTTTGAAAACTATGCAAGATTGCTCAATCCTATTGGAGTGTTTCATTCAGACCATTTTGGTGTGAGAACATCTAATTATTCAGATGCATGTCTTACAATGAATTGAAATAATGGTAAACTGCAATCTTGAACAGTGAGACATTTTTCAATTTCTGATCAAATATAACATCTATTTTTCTTTAAAAAATCAACTTTTAAGAAACTTAAAATCACAAAAATAAATGCAGCTTTTTATCAGAGGCAAAGCAAATATAAATCTACTAAAACACAACATCACAGTGAAAAAAAAATAAAACTTCAATAATGAAGCAAACAGGAGAAAATACAAAAATACAGACTCAATTTCAAGAATCAAAGAGAGTGTCAAATTCTCCATTAGAAATATTTAATATTATAGAATTTTGCAAGTTTTGAATTACATGAATGGAAAATTTTGCAAAAAACCTAAATTATTATGTGTGACAATTTTTTATTGAGTGAAACTTCATACAAATCTTAGTTTAACAGCAAAAAATGTGGTTTATAGAAAATAAATAAATCAATAGGCTATATAGGCCCACTCGTATCAAGAATTGAGACTTGGTCAAGTCAAGATTGTGAGGGGAAATAGCTAGGAGTTTGTCCAAAAGTTGACTAACATATCCTATCTAATACTGTGAAAAATAATTCTATTTATTTAGCAAATAGTTTCTCTAGAAAAGCTGGTATTGATAATATTAACAGGGTGTTCTGAAAGTGCGAACCAGGGCTTCTCAAACTTGGCCCTTGGATCAAAGGGGTCAAAGTTCAAAGACATTTACAATTTACTATTTGAGATGGGTAGGCCTACTGTACATTAATTCAAAGTAGATTACCTTCAATTTGTCTAGTTCTTTGACTGTAAATTGTTTTACTTTTGTTTACTGGCTGTTTAATATTGAATGTGCCAAATAAAAAAAGGATAAAAACTAGACATTAGGTATTTTTGTGAAAAATCAGGGCGCCACGGAGTGTCGAGAGTCTTTTGGTTGGGGCCACAATCTTGAAAGTTTGAGAACCATTGGCATGAACCAAATCCTATATTAGCTTGCTAAAATTAAATATATTACCGGTAGTCAATTCTACCTAAATGGGTACAACAGTTTAGTACCAAATTTGAAATCAATGTTCATTACACAATTAATCGAACACAGTATTGAAAATTTAATTTGGCTTGATTTTTTCTTTCCTAAATTTTTTTAACAGTCATTGTACAAAATTGATCGTGTTATGTTACTTATAGGTTTTATTATTCTTTTGTTTTTGGAGAGCGTTCTGTCGTTTTTGACGATCCGCTATATTAGAGGAAATGGTGTTAGTTAGTGCAGGGAGAGATATTTTGACTTCCAAAGCAGAGCTTGCACTTTTGATTGACTTTTTACCAATCGGCTTCACTGGTATACGAGGTAATCTTGTATCAGAAAACGACTCGTTATCAGCGAGTCCGACGGTTTTTGAAATATATGGCTCAGGTGTTGAATTTCTTGATGAAATACGCATGTCGTTACGAAGGCGAGACAATTCCGCTAATTGCTGACAATTGACCTCATGAAGACGTTGAATTATCGTTTCACATTCGGACATCGATGGCACACGAGAAGTTTCATTTACTCCCTCACGAATTTGTAGAGGGTTAAGCGTTGCATTTAAGGGCAACGGTGTAGAAAGACTACTAACAGAATACTTTCTTCTGTGTGTTTTGGTGCGCTCCCCGTCGCCAGAGCTGTGACGTTCACCTGTATTTTTACCTTGAGATTGTAACATGAAAATTGCATGCTGCATTTCTTTATTTTTCAAAGTAGATTCCTGTAGAGCTTGTTGTAAATCTTTAACTTCTTCCTGGAGAAGAAGAGTCTTGATGTCAGATTCTTGTGTTTGCTTTGAAGATGGAGGTAGAGGAGTGTTTCCTCTATGTGCAAGTAGCATTTTGAATTGTAATTCCTTGTTCTCCCGCTTTAGGAAGTCTAATTCTTCGTGTAGCTTTTTCAATGTGTTCGCATGTTGATCTTGTAGAAATTGAATACTTTTATCGTAACGAAATGCGTGCTGTTGATTTCCTGTCGGCATTTTATCCAGAAATTTTACGCCAACGTTCCCAAGACTTGCGTTGAAATCCATCATCGCTGCGGAATCCGTCGTTATTGTGGTGCCACCTGGTGGTAAAGGAATACGATCCCGCAAAAATGGTTTTGGATATCTCGACCGGTCAAGTGTAGAGACCCGAGACCACGAAGGTAGGTTGCCAGGTGGCGGTAAGGCTGATGACGACATTGCGTCTTTGGTTCGTACACTTTTTTTGTATACAAATATTTTATTAATTCTACATCTTCTAGAGATGAACAAATGGAAATCAATTTTATAAAGAATGAATCAAGTGACAAATAATATTATAAATAGTTAAAATCAGAAAAATGGAGAATGGTACTTGTGATATTCAATAGATAGGCTATATTGTTTGAAAATACAAATGATTGAAGTGATAATCGCCATTTCTGAAAGTCAAACATTTTTTTCCTTTTTGAAAATAAAATCCTAATTTTGTTACAAAATCGATCCATTAATTGGAATATGTAGGGTGTCCATAAATCTTAAATTTTTTTTAAATTGCAAAGGGAATTTATCGATACCATGTATTGTCTTGTCCCTCACATATGCATTAAATGAAGTAAAAATAGTTACACAATTACCGATTTAAATACAACAAACCTGGTTAAGATATATTGAGAACTGACTTCATAACAATATTGAAATTGAAAGGGACTTTATGGACACCGTGTACGTTATCCAATAACTGGTACATAAATACTGTAAGCATTTCATATATATTCACAAATGTTGATACAAAAGTTTAATATTACATTGTAATGGAAATTAGTAAGGCACTGTAAATTGTGTTTTTCACGGAATTATTCTTCTCAATTAGGGATCAAGCACTACAATTTCAGTCTTATACAGACACCCTGGTGACAAGATGCTTACTTGTAAGTGATTAGCAATCATTGATCATGCTTGAAGCCACATCATGAAAAAATAAGAGTAATATATGTAAGGGGGTGTAAGAGTATATTTTAGTAATGCCAATCATTTCGATAATATTCATTAAAGTTCTACAAAATGGAAAAATATTGAGTGGCACAAGGATTTATTGAAACAAAAATCATCCCAGAAATCTCAACTAAGTTCAGTTCTAGATATCAGGAATAGCTTCAATGAAAAAAACCAGGATACAGATCATACTCATCTTGATAAACAACACTCAACATAAGACTGAGAAGTCAATGTTATCAAGTTAAAAGAAACTACAAAATGATTGTTTAACAGTGGGAATAGAAAATCCGGTGATATTCAACCTTTAATAAAGGAGGGCCAGATACAAATAACTGGGTGGACCGCATCTCATTTAATAAAGGCTTTCTAGTAGTCGGTTATTGATCTTATGACATGAGTCTTTGCAACGCAAAGGGATTGGGATAACTTGCACATACCAGATTAAACTAAATTAAAAACTTACGTCGCGAGCCGCACTTCATCCAAAATTGGCACGCCTACGCGAGCCACATTTGGCCTGCGGGCCCGCAGGTTGCACACCCCTGTTCTACAAGTTTCTGAATGTTATTTTGCATGCTCTTATATAATGATGCCAAAGCCCTTTAACATATACAATACATACTTTATTGTCAAATGGTGATGGCAGGTAAACAATGCCCACTTGGCAGTTGTAACCTGTATAAGCCTTATCACAAGATCTCAAAAATTGAAAGGTGATGAAAGGCTTACATGAAGTTATCTTGGCGTCTTGTAATTACGGTGACTACTGGGTAAATTTTTTCCAATTAAAATTGATTGTTCCTATTTGATTTTGATTCTCAAATAAATCAATTTTTATCATAAATAAATCTATCATGAATGAAAATTTCAATATTCAACCTTTCAAATGTAGGTTTTAGAAAATAGTATAATATTGCACACCGTATATGATTAATCAATCCTTCAAAGTACAAAACATGATAAAATAATCAAGTTCAAGTTGACAATTACTGAAAAGGGTGTAAATGGTAAACGATGATAATTCTGAAACGGGTAATATGATTTTACAAGGGAGGTAAACAGCCCAATGTCCCTAACAAACCCTTATTTTCTGAAGTTTAGACACCTTTTTTAAACCAACTTTACATTTTCGCACTTTTCAGTAACCATCAAGAACCCCAAATATTTCTAATCAATATTTGCATTTCAGAAATAATTACCGTAGTCATTAAAGATGATATAATTTAACATTAATCCAAAATATTTTTAATCATTTAATGTTTCTTAGGATCCTACGACAATGATTTGACTTCATTTCATTGAGAGCTTCTTCCAGTGTTTTAGTCATATGGACAAGATTAACCACGTCAGTCTGGAGCATATAATCTTTTTGTTCTTTACCATCGAAAGTTGAGATCTTTAGGTAGATAATAGGCGTAATCTGGTTATGCAAAGCGCGGCTTGCAATTTTTATATCAAACCTCCAACTCAGGTTTCTATATACTGGAAGAGACGGCATCGTTTTAGATAAAATACCTTTAGTATACTTGTAATGATTCAAGTATAATTCTGTCAGGATTTTACAAATATTTTCAGAAAACCCAATCAGTAATAACGAATCATGAAAATCTGTTTCATCCAAGTTGAATTTTGTTCCCTCTGTGAATAACTGCATCAAACCTTGTACAGCGTTCTCAATAGTATCCACACTTTCGTTTAGTTTCTGTGCAGCAGTGCTAAATGTCTTTCTATTGATTCCATTCTTTAAAAACTCTACTGAAATTAAAGCAAAATTTTCAACAATATCATCTTCGCTGTTAATCAGATATTCCAAATGATTTCGGTGATCTTGGGAGATTGTCAATAACATGATTCTCACTAGTTACATTTAAAGGTTACTGTTAGTAAGTAATAACAATTTCTAAATTAAATTAAAAAATAGTATGGTTGATTAAAAATGGGGGCGAATATATTTCTCACATTCAGCTATCTGTTCAGTTCAGAATGAAAAATGATAATATAAGAGGTCTTGAATTGTACTAATAGAATTTTTTTTTATCCACATAATAATAAGCGTGACCTGATGAAGAGATCGCAGAGACTCGAAATTGCTTCACAGTACTAAGTGTTAGAAGCACGCATTTACCTGCGTTCGTTAGAGTCCTAGGCACAGTTCTCTAAACCTGACAGCGCATTTGTTAAAAGGGTTTTCAACTGGGTGGTATAAGTGGTAATAAAATCACTATTTTCAAATATTAAATCATAGAATATTACTGTATTATCAATATTTTCATTAATTCAAAATAATTTTATCCCTTTCTCACTTGATTTTATGAATTAGATTCAGTTGGTATGGATCCAAATCCCCCAAAAAATAGAAACCAATCAATTTTATTTTAGCCACTTTGGTATAAAACAAAACAACACTATACGGACAAAAAAAATGCAAAGATCCTGGAAGACGAGCATAACTCAAGAAAGAGTTGAAAGCGTACGAGTACGCGCCCGTCCACCAAAACAGTTGAAGCACGCAACAAAATAAACCTACACAATACTGCAATACAAAATCGGGCAATAACTTTGAAATCAATTTAACACGTGAAAACACTGATCAAAAGAAGAACATGGCAGATAATGTCAATAAAACAATATAAAACATGCAATCACGAAATCATGTGAGGTACGGTATCAAAATTACAGATTGTCAGTTTCTGTTACCGTAAAACCGGCTAACTTCGGATGCCTTGTAACTTCGGATGAAATTTTCAATCATTCATATCTCAACTAAATTTCGTCGTATTGCGCTTCTGTCGGTTTCTATAGTAAGGCCTTACATATCTGAATCTGCCGTAGCCTCCAATCGCTCGATTTGATTTTTTATCATTCAAAAAATCATATTTTACCAAAAAAATGACACCGTTTTTTCGAGCGGCTCAAATCGTGACTTCTACAGACGCTACCTTCGTCAAATCACCGCCAAGCGCTAGAGAGCGTACACAATGTATACAAAAAAATACAGTGATCACAAGGTGTCGTACGAGATTCGAGTGAAATCGATTATTTTGATTTAAAAATTACATCAAAATATCGACGTTTTGATGATTACGTACAGCGTGACGTCAACGACGCAAATCCCTTTCTCTCTCTTCGTAGCCGACGTCACTTTGCGTGGCTCGTGCGTTACTCGCTGCGACATTTGAACGCCAGACATCGCGACGCCCAGTTTTGTGAAATTTAAAAATTATGCTTATCCATGATCCTAGTCACTAAATCCTACAAAAACATCACTATCGTCTCAGTCATATGTTGTTTATTTAAAAATATGGGTATGCATACGCTTAATGCATATGAAATTTGTCGATTTTTGTTTTTGCATACTTCCTCCGACACCGATAGATATCGTAGCAATTGGTAATACGTTAGGCCTGAAACATGTATCTATACGATCATAATGATTAGATATGTCTGTTTACGATCGGCAGATGATAATAATATCTTTAACAGGTGAGCGTAGAACTCTACATAGATGCACACAGCAGGAGGTTGGACCACATACAGGTGAGGCGCAAAATGAAAAAAAGTGGCGAAGTTTCTTTTTGCCGTTTTTATCCGTTTATTGTCATTTGACTTTATCTATCTACCTGTGAACACATTAAATCTGATCTATCAATACGATGCCAAAGCGAACTTACAACTCCTGCAATAGCGAGGACTTGCAAAAGGCTATGGCTGATGTTAGAGCAGGGATGTCGTATGCGAAAGCAGCTAAACGCAATGCCGTGAAAAGGTCGACATTATTCGACAAAATGAAGAAGACTCACACTAACTGTTGCAAAGACCCTCTAACCCATGTGGAAATGATTACAATTCTTGATTTTGCCAGCGTTTCCTTCAATTCATCTGTTTATTTTTAACTGTCGAATTTTTGTTCATACCTTACTTGTTCCATATTGCTTTTTGATTTCAATTTTTACTTTTGCCAGTGTTTCATTCGATTCATCCGTTTATTTTTAATTGTCTAATTTTTGTTCATTCTTTACTTGTTCCATATTGCATTTCAATTTCAACCTACACCAGTGTTAGGTACTTTCAATTCTTCCGTTTTTTTTTTTTGTAAATCCTTTTCTTGCATTGAAAATAAACGATCATAAAAAGAACGAACTAGCATTTTGCAATAAATTAGGAGTAGTTAGTGAAATATATACGAGTTATAATAAAGGACACAAGAATAAATAGTTAAGCTTCGCGAAGCGGCAAGAGTAACGTCACGTAGTAACGTCACGTACAAACGTCAGTATGCAACACGCAAGACGGGTCGTGGCGGCGTAAGGTCTATTCAGCGACGTTGTCACGCGTCATTGCTTACGCAGACATTTCTCTCTCACGACGAGTTGACGCAAAGAGAAAAGTGGCCATCCGAAGTTAGATAATTTTAGAATAGACGAATAAAGACAATAATTTCAATGAAAAAAGGCTTTGATGAATATGGAACCGACTTTATCAAGACGAGAATAGCCACAATGTATTATATTCCAAATTTGGCTTCAGTTGAACAACATGCGGCGGAGATATTGTTCAAAATATAGTGAAATCATCCGAAGTTAGCCGGTTTTACGGTACCAGGCGATGGTTTCCTCCGCCATTCAATTCCATGCATACCTGCACACCGCATATAGATGATAATTTAGTGAACTATTCTCATACCCGATATAGACTAATATAGTAACCGGCAAGGGGTGCAGACTTGTTATACCTTTGTAATGAAGACGTTAATCTTTGTACAGTCTTTTCTTACGCTTGGATAAATATAAAAATATGCGATTAGCCAAACAACAGTAGCTGCTTCCTAACTTACGGACAACCATTTACGACCACCTGACCTTGCTCATTTTCAAAAACTCCTATGACCTAGCCTAATTTATTACTTCCATTCCTCAGCTAATATTAACAAAAAGTAACAGCAAATTAAAATTTTCCATCTTTACGACAGAAAGAGAATGACTCTCGTACGCCACCGATGCTTCCGCGGAAGCAATGCAGAGCGTTGCCCTGCCTACGGCTGCAATTATTGTTGATGCCAGATTGTTGGCACAAGTATTGTGGCCTTTTCTCTATGGATATTTCGCTGTCAAATTGAAACTTTTTTTTTATATTGTACAATTTACCAAAAAATGTTTTACTGTATTTTTTTTACTAGGTCTAAATCAGTTTGATTTTGTATTTGCCTCAATGTACACAAAAACTAGCTATCGCCCGCCTTCACTTTACGTCAAATAATAATGGAAATGGCGATTACGTGACATTAAACTATATCTTTCCAGATATATTTTTGACTTTTTGAAGTAATTTACAAATGAAAACTTGCAAAAATATTTTGCAATACAAGACGCATTTGAAGACGCTGCTTTGCAACGCCAATTCATTCAAATATGTAGCGAGAATGGTACAAAAGTATGGTATACCTCACCCATAGTATGCCATAATTGTGTGTACCAAGTGTTTGTGAAAGCATTCGGCACTCCCTTTAAAATTGTTATTCACATGAATGAATTTAAATAGCTGTTCTTAAATGAAATCATGAAATTATGAATGGATTATAGTCATTGATCGGAAAATGAATTTTTCTTAGTCATATCGAATTAACCACTCGTCAATCGTTCCGTTCTTCTGTCCTGTTCATTGTAGTACAATACAACACTGTTCAATGTTTTTATAAGGACAACGAATAACACATTAATTTATTTGCACTTAAAAATGGGTTTGGGACAACTTTTTCAATAGCAATTAACCCGTTTTAGCGGCTATGGTCTTTTCGCAGTTCGATGCGATGCAATTTTCACCATGTAGGCCTATGGAAATTGAAATAAATGGGGACTTCCTCTACCAAGTTTTTATCTGTAAATAAACAAGAGAGCTGTGCTCAAATATATGAATACGTCATAAGGTGTCGCTATTTTTTATTCTGACACATGAAAAACGAATCTCTTGAAGTCCACAGAAATTTTTGAAATAAGTAAAAGTAATAGCCTTCTGGCAAAAAAAATCAATCTTTATCACTGAAAATTTCAAAGCACTTGGTACAGTATTCGAAGAGAAAAGCGATTTCGTCATGACGTAAGAGAAGAAAAACAACAACAACATAATATTGAAACGATCGTTATGTACACTGACGTGTCCGAAAATATCACACATAATAATACAATTTAATTGTTGGAGACTTTGTGATTTGTTTGTTATAAAACTGGCTGCTGGAGTAATACACGCTCCACCTAAAGAGGAGGGGTTCATGTTGCTGGAGCAGCCTGTCAATAGATAGGATTTACATATTTATCCCAGGGGAGTGGGAAAGCCAATACGACGGTTTAACCATATGGCGAACCATGGCTTCTCGTGCGGTTACCAGCCCATGTCGGATATGGGATTAGTTATTTGTTTTCGGAAATATGGACTTGATGGTAGAGGAAGCCGTAACCGACCAGTGGTTACGTGATCCACCCTACGGCGGCGAGGAGTCAAGCCACCCTTTCGAACATAACCATTCCGCATGGGATTCGAACCTCCGAACTCACGCAGCGTAATCAGAAGTGCGGTGGCGAGCGTATTCCTAACACTTAGCACGATGAGCCACACAGCCGCACCAAAGAGGGAATAAGATATAAGACTAAGAGGGTAGTTCGTGTACTCAGCAAAGTAGTGTTTAGACTTGCCTCAAGATACCAGGTGATATATATATATATATAACTTTTTACCGTCAATATCGTAGAACATTTCTGCCTTGAGCATGACAGTGGCGATAGAATATCCCTAGTTGGGACAGATTCGAATAAATTCAAATTGCGGCGGTGTGGCACATCGTGCTAAGCGTTAGAAATACGCTCGCCACCGCAGTCCTTATTACTCTGCGTGGGTTCGCAGGTTTGAATCCCATGCAAGGATTGGTATATGCGAGAGGATTACTGAACTCCTCGCCGCCGTAGGATGGTTCACGTAACCGTTCGTCGGTTACGGCTTCCTCCGCCATCAAGTTCATGCTTCCGAAAACAAAATAACCAACTAATCGCATATCCGACATGGAATGATAACCGGGCAAGAGGCCGTGGTTCGTCCTATGGTTAAGCCGTCTTAAATCCTATCCTAAAACAACATTTCTACACCACTAGGCTTTGCTGCGGAGCACAAAACATCACCATCATGCACTTTCAATCGAGCAATGTTTCGTCACTGTATAACAAATCCCTGTAGAATTGTTTATGGCAACAGGCCGAACACCAGACTTTTCTATTTGATTATTTATAAGCGTTTCGATGAATGACTGCAGATAGATGTTGAATGTCGAGACAAGCTATACGCTTTATGTATACAATTAAATATGCAACTTTTAAATACCTTTTTGATATTCCTTTTTATGAAATGCCGACTTAAATTAGCAGTTACAGGCTGTGAAGGTCAGGTTGTAGTCACAACATTAGGATTATTTTTTTAGCCGCCTTGTCGCATTAGCCACCACGTAAATTCAGACATCTTATTGGTTTGTATGCGACTGTAAATTAGGAAAAAAGCCGCTAAAAAGTTTAGTGATAGTGGGCTAGGGCAGCGTTTCCGAAACTCAATTTTCACATATAATAGGTAGTAGGCCCTTTGACAATTCATAGAGTCTAGTGCACCCTAAATTGCCTTGTATGCTGTGATTGGACGAAATAAGTCATGTGAACTGC